TGTGGGATAAAATCTAACACTCATGTACTCAGAGTCCTAGAAAGGAAAGAGACAAAATGGGTAGAAAATATGTTTGGAAAAATAATTATAAAATGTCCCAAAACGGGTGGAAAACATCAACCTACAAATCCAAGAAGCTCAGCAAACTAAAAACATGATAAATACAAAGAAGACCACATTTAGGCACATCATGGTCAAATCAGTGAAAAACAGATAAAGAGAAAATATTGATTGACCGTAGCCAGAGTAAGATGAAACATTACTTACAGGAAAACAAGAAAAAATGTAATTCCAAGAAATGGAACGACATGTTTAAAGCACTGAAATAAAAGTAAAACTGTAACCTAGAACTCTATATTCAGCAAATGATCCTTGAAACTTGAGTGTGAAATGAAGACATTTTCAGCTGAACAAAACCTAAGAGAATTAGTCACTGGCCGACTTACAGGAAGGAATAAAGACAGAAATGATATATGTGTGAGAAAATATAAAAGACTGGTTTTGCTTAGTTTTCTTTTGATTTAATTAAAAGCAAAGGACTGTTAAAACAAAAATTGCATCATTTTAAGGAGGCATTTATAAATAGGTGGATGAAGAAGAACAGCAAAATAATTCAAAGGACTAATGAGGGTGTAAATGGGACTGTTATTAAGGTTCTTACATGAAGTATAAAGTAGAATATCAATTTTAAGTAAACTGTCATTAAGGGATGCATATTGTAAGTGCTAGAGCAACTACTTGAAAAGTACAAAAAGGCTGTAGATAAAAAGCCAATAGAAAAAAATAAGATGAAATGCTATCAAATATTTCATGAACCCAAAGGGTAGCAGGAAAAAAAAATGGATCAGAACAAATAGGAAACTAATTGCAAGATGACAGACTTAAATCCTATCATGTCAAAAATTATGTGAAGTGAAAATGAGTAAAACACTCCAATTAAAAAGCACAGATTCTCAAAAATGGATTAAAAAAAAAAAGACTGCCTATAAAAGAGTTTTAAATATATAAATATATATGACAGGACTAGTAGCAGAGATTAAGAGGGACATATCTTAATGAATGCACTAATTCAACACCTAAACATAACAATCTTAAAAGTGTATATGCTTAATAACAAAGCTTCAAAATACATTTAGAAAATACTGACAAAACTAAAGAGATAAGTAGACAAATCCACAATCATATTTAGAGACTTTAACACCCTTATCTTGGTAATAAATAGAACAAGTAGACCAAAACAAAATAAAACAAAACCAGACCTGAAAAATACAATCAACCAACTTGACCAACTTGATATTTAGAGAACACTACCACTAATACCTGCAATATTATATATAATATATAATGTCAAGTATATGACATTATTTGCAAGTGTACTTGAAGCATACGCTTAAATACACCATAAAATGGCCTATAAATTTCTTTAATTTCAAAAGACAAAAGATTCTTTCAGATTCTCTCAGAGCATAGCATAATTTTAAGTTATAAGTCAATAACAGTAAGATATCTAGAAAAGCATAGAATACTTGGAGGTTAAACATTCTGTTGATTTCTCTCTTTATGTCCGTTAATATTTGATTAATGTATTTAGGTGCTTCAGTGTAAACATTTATTCTAGATAACACTCCAATAACATTCTAAATAACAAGAGAAATCACAAGGGAGCTTAGAATTATTTTTAACTGAATGACAATGAAAAAAAAACAAAGCAAAAAGTTGGCTCTTTGAAAGATTAATAAAATTGGCAGACCCCCAGCAAGACTCTTTTCTATCAAAGAAAGAAAGAAAGAAAGAAAGAAAGAAAGAAAGAAAGAAAGAAAGAAAGAAAGGGAAAAGAACAACAGGAAAGAAAACAAAATTGACAACACCAGCAGTAAAAAATGAGGTATAACTACAGACCCTATAGACATAGGGATATTATACATTTGATGTCAATAAATTTGGCAACTCACTTTATTTATACAATGGAATACCCCTAAGGAAACTCCTTACACACAGAACAACATGGATAGATCTCACAGCTATTATCTTGGGGATGGAGGGATAAAAAGCACAAAAGAGTGTATACTGTAGAACTATATGATGTTCTTAAACTGGCAAAGCCAATCTATGATGATAAAATCAGAGCACTGATAGCAGCTGGGACAGAAGGTAAAAAGGCTGGAATCTGAAAGCAAAGGGGCACAAAGAATATTTCTGAGATGATGGAAAATACAGATTGTAAAAAGTCATCATATCATACACTTAACTCAACGTGCATAAATTTACCTCAACGAAGTTGATTTTTAAGGAAAAAATAAATAAAAAATACCAAAGAAGTAGAGCTGTAACTTATATAAATGTAAATTTAGTCCAAATTTTTTAACAATTCTTCAAAACATACTTTCTATCATATACCTTCTTAAGACAATAGAAACCATAAACTATGGGCCAGGAAGTATGCTGGATGCTTTCACTTGCTATTACCTTGCAAAGGTCCTAAATGGTACCTTGAGAGACAGCAGTGTTACAGCTGATAAAGCAGTAACCCTGGAGCCAGAAGACCCGGGTTCAAATAATGACTATATGTTATCTATTAGACAGATATATGACCTAAAATATATATAATATGTGACCTAAAACAAGTTACTTTTTAAGTTTCTTCATTACCACAGGGTTGATGTGAAGATGAGGGAATATTATTTTAAAGTATCTGGTAAAGCACAACACAAATACAAGTCTTATCACCAACAGTAAGTGCTCAACAGACACCGATTAAAAGAAGAAATGAAAGAGATAAATAACAATATGGGCAGGGATATAAGCAGACAGGAAAAGACAGGTAAGAGCATGTTCCTACTCACACTTTTTTCTGTGGATGGGTAGGGTGGAGAGTAGAAGAGGGGCTTTCAGACATGTTCCCATAGTGAGCAGCACTGAGTAGGGTAGGGTTGGAATGAATGAATGAATACACTTTTGTTGTGACCTGGATCACAGCATTCTAGGCTAGCAATCCATTGTCTTGGCAGGGAGCATGAGTCACTGGTCTACCTAGGACTCCAAGGGGCTTCATCCAGGATCATAAGGGTTGCAGTGACTCATCTCTTATTGTGGACCTCTGAAATGCCAGTATAACAGATAAAGTGTTCCAATCCTCCTTATCCTTAGATTTTCATTTTGCTCTAAATGAGACAACCAGAGCAGACATCATACAAAAAGACTGGCAATGAGCAGAGCAACAGCTTCACGAATACCTAGCTGACTGATTTTCAGTAGAGTTCCAAGGAACAATGCTAGGTCTGACAGTACTCAAAAAGTACCCGAGTAAAAAAATCTAGAGGGTGACTACAAAAGAGGCCCAGATTGAAAACCTGAGAAGTCACGTATCTTCACCCAAACATGGAGCCACTGGTAAGGCACTTAGAAATTCAATACTGTACTCAATTAGGATATGTCATCTGACTGAGGTTTCAACGGAATACTATGGGGGCAAACAGAGGAGGTAATGAACCAAGTGGTAGGGGAGGAAGCACTATTAGGGGAAACACTCTTGAAAAAAAGTGACACCTCTGCTGAATCCAAAGATGTTAAGGAATTACTTGGGCAAAAGGCATTCCGGGCAGGAGGCACAGCACGTATAAAGACTTGAAAGGTCTGGATGGTGCCATCTGCAGGGCACAAGGAATTGCATACAGCTGGAGAATATGTTATGAAGGGAAAATGAGGAGACTATAGAGGCACAGGCAGGGTCTTAAGAAGGACCTTTTCTTAAAAGCAGCCTGAAGGAATTTATATTTTACCTTGAAGATGAAGGGAAGCCACTGAAGGATTTTTTTTTTTTTTTCAAGTGAGCAGGCCAGGTGCCCCTGGTGGTGACCCTGGCCCTCAGAAAGTGATATGAGAGTGGAGGGGGGCAGTGTAGAATACAGTGTCTAGTGAAGGTCTGGTGTGTGTGTTGTTTCTCATTTGTATAAGTGAACTACATTTCCTTCACATCTTGCTGAAGAGAAGGCTGCTCCCTCCATCACCTCTTCTCCTCATATACCCTACACCTTCACATTGTCTTATGTTGTAAAAGAATCATTTGGTGGCAAGATTACATTAAACCCACTGGATTCTCAGGTGCCCTGCTGGCAAATATTAGCTCAAGTCTACAGGTGCACAAGTATCTTTCTTTGTCTCCGATAGGGTTCGGAGACAGCGTAAGCCACGGAAGGATTTTAAGCAGGCAATACCAAAATCGAATTAACATTTTTAAGAGATCATTCTGGCAACAGTGTGGAACACAGATTGGAAGGGGACAAACGCGGAGACATGGGCAAGTATTTAGGAGACTGGAGTGATCCATGTGGGGGATGGCAATGGCTGAAGACAGCAGAACGCAGGATGGAGTGAAGACGTATTAGACATGGTGAAGAGGCAGAGTTCTCAAGACTTGTCCACTGGTTTACGTAAAGATGAGGAAAAGAAGGAATCAAGCTGGACTCCCAGGATTCAAGCTTGGATGTACGAATGGACAGGCCTGCTGTTCATGGAGATGAAGAATAAGTTCAACCTGTGCTCGAAAGTATAAAAAGCAATGATACTGCACTACCATTTAAAAAGAAAAATTAACGCAAACAAAAGCACATGCTGCCTTAGACAGTATAGACATACATCTCTGGGAAAAATCAAACACTTAAATTCACAGAGAGGAATAAGTCAGAGTTAAAGAAATTCCTGTCTAACATATGTTGATGAATGAATAATCAAAGAATAACAAGAAGGCAATTCACTAACAAGAGAGCCATCTACTGCCTTCCAAGGATAGTGCAGCGATGAAATGCCACAAAAAAATGTGGAAGAAAGCCAAGTTTGTGACCACTTCACACTGTACATGTATTCACAAAATATCTGACCCCTCCCACAAAAATTTCCAAGCAGTTAGCACTTTTTAGCTAACAGCCAAATCTTTTCACTTACTTATTTCTCCTAAAAACATCAATTCAACATATATCATCCTTTGAATATAGAACACTTACCTGCCATCATTGCTATCATACTGGCTTTATAGACATTAGTAAGAGATCCAAGTTCTCCCGTTGCTAAGATGGTTTTGAGATGAGCCTCCCCACAGGCCTTGCGAAACTGACGAATCTCATCATACAGGGCTGGGGAAGGAAATAATTGAGGCAGTTACAAAGCAGGCAAGTGATAACATAACTTGGCAGCCATTTGGAGCTGGTAGAACCCATCTCAGATTTAGGAAACATAAAACATTTGTCACTTACTAAAAATCACCCCAATTTAATATCGCCTAGAGCATTCTGTTGCCATTCACATCCTGTTACAAGAAATGCTTAGTTTGCTACCATGAAACTTTCTAAGCCCCTGCCCGAGGTCCAGAACCATGCCGCTTTTTAAATTATCATTATAATGACATGCAAATTACAAATAATTTCTACCTCTCCCATATGTTGGTTACTTACAAGAAAAAAAGACATTTATCCACCATACATATGGGGGTGTACCGCTCTGCAAACTGAGGAAACCTCAGGTCCTTATTAATTCTTCCATTCACACATAATAAGTTCTCTTGTTAGAATATAAAGCAGGCCTTTCCTGAGAGCTCTGCTAATGACAATGAAGACATAACAGCTTTCCCCACTCGCTGCCAGGACATGTATCTATATATCTGACTAAAAAGCACTGAGCCTAGCCAGGTATGCTGGATGTATGTGCACAGAGCCAGTTGTAGAGGGGCTCCCAGGTGCAGCCTTGAATCTATTAACCCCTGACCCCAGTACCACATCTGGCTTTTGAGGGCTCCACTTGATACCCTGAAAGCAGATTTTTGAAAAACATACATGTAAAAAAAAAAAAACTATCCTCATAGCAAAAAGAAAATCAAGGGGGAGAACATTTCATATTCAAAAAGAATTGACAGAATTTTAGTAAACAAAATCAGTATAATGAGTATTAAATTTTTGAAAAATTATTTAACATCATCTTCTGGCATGACACCAGTGGGTTTTGGCTCTTATCCTGTATCACGTTGGCTGCATTCATTCCTTGAACTTGGGCTATTACTACACGATCAGGACTACCAGCGCTTTTTTTGTTCCTCTGCGTGTGTGTGTTTCATAGGAAATAGTTCTACGAGCGCACGGACTACACTGAGCAGGAAAGAAAAATTCGTACTAAGGTTAGGGTTAGGGGAAGTGGTTTTTAATGTGGAGATGAGACTTCTGTAATTCACTGGTTTACTAAAGTACATGTAAAAGACTAAAAATTGGTCACAAGTCACCAAACTCAGTCAAAATCGTGAAAGTTGTAACACGATGAAGAAAACTTGCCTTCCCGATCCTAGAAAATCTGAACTGAACTTGAAGCTCCAAGTGAAAAGTGAACACAAATAAAAGCAAAAATTCCATTACAGGATGCTTGGTAAATGTTAGAGTTTGACCCCGTCAAAAGATGGCACCCACAGAAGGTTTTTCAAGAAAGGGCTAAATACTTTCACAAATCCCTAATAATCAGTGGTTTGGAGCATTAGAGACGATCTGAGATGCCACACCGCCTACCTCACCCTGCCCATCCTACCCAAATTGTGAGAAATCATCTCACCCACACATCCCATATGACAACATGTGTGAGAATGGCATAGACAACGACTACGTGGCAATAACAATTTATATTCTTTTAACTCAGGGAATGAATCTTGGATGGAATGACATTTCCTGAGTTACTGAATCTGAAAACAGGAAGTTGTTTTCTAAGAACTACTGACAAGGAAATCTCTTGATCTAAAAATTCAAGAATGCTACCCCAGAGTTAACTTGCGATTTAATTAATGACTTTTCTTCCACAGTGCAGCGTTGCCATCAAAAGCAGGCTGGAGAGTCAGACAAATGTGGATTTAAAACCCAAATGCATCTCTTCTTGCGTGACCTTGGGCAAGTAATTCTCAGCCTCGGTTCCATCCTTGAAGTGTCAATAATAATACTTACATTATAGGGTTATTATGAGGATTAAAAGGGAAGATATATACAAAGTACTCTGCACATTGTCTGGCTGATTGTAAGCACTCAAAAAGTGTAACCATTATTCTTAAGCTCAGAAACCTAGTGAAATGAGTTTTAATTAAGTGTTGTGTGATAAAAGCCAAATCTTATTCATGGCCTGACCCAACTCCTTGTACTGCACCAAAATCTTGTTATATGGATTAATGCTTAAAATCAGTGAGTCATCAGATAAGGCTTGAAATGTTTTATTACAACATTTGTTAAAGTAAAGTTTGATCTGTACAACAAAATTCTTAAAACGTTGATCCCAATCATATTTAAGAACAAAACTATCAGCCTTTTTCTAGAGTATTACCTTTTGATATCCAGTCCATTTCTTTACCTACAGTTAAAATTAATCAGAAAAAAAAAAAAACAACCCATGTACTTTACGACTCAATTATCAGCCACCTGGAAGTTATTATGCCCTGTAATCCATGATCCAAACAGAATGAACCCAAAATAGTCATCAGCACATAACTGGATTTAAACAAATAAGTAACCAGTGCCTTCTCATTCTTTAACCACCAACTCCTCAAATCATTTAACTGACCTATCTCACCACATAACAGGGTCAAGTTTTTCTGAGAAAGTATCTTAATCTTTAGAGTTCAACTGAACTCTACTGAAGTTGCTTGTCATTTTTTTCTTCTGTTACTATTCTGCCCAGAGTAGTAATTCAATCAAAAAGCACACTGGACCTGTCCTTTGGAAAATGTGGCCTGGACTCCGAACAAGCAAATGCTTCTATCTGGGCCTCTGAATCTTACTGAGTTACGCAAAGATGACAGAGCATTCAAGATGTTCATTAGTATTACTACTGCGACATCCTCAATGGCAGCAGATCCGAGAGTCCCGTGGCCCTGTGGCCCCATGGCCCCGTGCCAGCAGCATGGTACCTGTGCTGGCCAGTGACGGCAGCATCAGAAGTGGCCCCGTAACCACACTTCCCACGGCACATCCAGCTGTATTCTCTGCTCCCCAGTCTTTCATGGACCTGCCTGTTTTCCAAGCCTGGTTCCCCAGGCTTCTTACTGACTCAGTGAGCTATTCCATGTCCTCCTAACAGATGCCTTTTCAGTTTAACCTAATCTGAACTGGTTTCATTAGTTTCCAACTCATAATTCTAGTATAACAAGTATTTACTGAGAAATCTGGTATGGTGTGGGACAATAGCATTGGTGCCACACTGCCTGGGGTTCATATTCTAGCTTCAACACGAATTTGTTGTGTGATTTGGGCGATTAACTCTTAAACTCTCAGTTTCCTCTTCCATAAAATGAGGATAATTGAGGTATGCACACCTCATGGAGTTATTTCAAGTACCAAATAGACTAATATGTATAAAGTGCTAAGGATGGTGTCTGGGACATGTATTAATGCTCAAAAACTGTCAGCTACTTGTTTCCCTGTTGCTGGCATTGGTGGTGGTGCTGTTGCTGTCGTTGCTGAGTGCTTATCAGGTTCAGACATACAGCAACTTATAAAGCAGAGGGCACCATGATCTATGTTTCTTAAAGAACATAAACACAACCTCTTTGGGGCCTAGAAAGCAGGCTGGTGGGGAAATTTTTATTTCTTCACGAACATTTTTTTTTAACTTGGAGCCCACGTTCCCAGACTCCTGGGATAAGAGTTCTATTACTTGCTGGTTACGTAAATTTACAGGAATCATTCAATTTTCCTAAGCTTGATCACTTAGGGAGCCTCAGTTTGCTCCCATATTTTTGTGAAGATGAGATAAAACAGTATATATGTTTAGAATGGAACAAGGCAATTAGTAGGCGTTTAATCATCCAATACTAGATTTCCATATTTTTTCTTATATACTTCCAGAAATGCAAAAGTAACTTTGAAAAACAAAACAAAGTAAGCACTGTCTTAGTAGTTATAGAATTTACAAATTTAACATATAAGGAAAACAGACCACTTCACTCCAACACAAACGACAGAAGCCACAAATAAGCATTATTAGTGTCCAGGTGTTCTAAGCACCTTGGCATCACAGTGACAGATGACATATGCAAATCAGAGTAACATGATGGAGGGGCCTCTGGGTGGCTCAGTTGGTTAAGTGTCCAACTTCGGCTCAGGTCATGATCTTGCAGCTCATGGGTTCGAGCCCCGTGTCGGGCTCTGTGCTGACAGCCCAGAGCCTGGAGCCTGCTTTGGATTCTGTGTCTCCCCCTCCCTCTGCCTCTCCCCAACTTGTGCTCCATCTCTGTCTCTCTCAAAAATAAATAAACATTTAAAAAAATTTTTCTTTAAAGTAATGTGATGGCTGAAGTGTAACTGTCAATCCCAAATCATAATGTCATTCAACATACTCAACGGTCACTTACCTTTCAGTATAAATGAGCAAAACAATGGAAAAACTAATGGGTGGATTTTCCTCCAGATTAGCAGGAAAGGACAGCAGGATGTGGATTTATATGATTGCTAGTGGAATACACATGTGGAGGAAGAAATCACAGTGGAATTAACAAGTTCAATATATCCTCTTTCCAAAAAAAACTCTTCAGGAGGAGTAGCTACTCAAAAGAATGAGAAACCCCATAAGTTTTCAAAGCATCTTCCTGCAAAAATGCTCAGTGTTTTCTACACATCATTTAAACATCCCTGTAGGGTAGCTGGTAGTTAGCTTCACATTTCATATACGAAAAGTGAAATGTAGAGAGATGAATGAGTTGCCTAAAATTTCCTCACACTTTGCTGCCTTTATCCCCCCACATGCATACACACAGGCAGCTACATGCATGCTGTCCTTACAACATGTTCTCAAGGACATGAACTGAAGAACTTAGCACAATATAGTAATCAAAACCTAGAACCTAAAGGGATGTCAACTCTCATTTAGTTCAAATTACTAACATTATAGATGAACATTATAAACCCAGAAGCTGATTTTCATTTTTCTAGGGAAAACAAAGTTGAGGAAACTGAAAAGTTCTAGGATAATTCAGAAACATAAAACAGTTAATTCCGTATGATTTAATATGCTAAAAAGACCTATAACTTGCTCTATAAGCCTTCTGGTTAAGATCAGAACAGCACATTCTGACATTATGTCGTAGAGAAGTTCACGTGTCTGAATCTGGACTTTTCCG